CCCCCTGGTCGTTGTTGTCTCACTCCGTGCATTTGAAACCGAACCGAAAAACTATACCGAAAATAAACCGAACTGAACCAATTTTACGATTTTTATGGTTTCTGGTTTTGGTATGGTATGAACTTTGCATACCATTTTGAACTTACCGAAAAACCGAACGGTTAACCGAAGTAAAAATAAATTAATATTTCTTGAGGCAAACAATCATATAAATTATCATTTTTCTTGTACATGAGTCAAATTCACTACCAAGCACATACATTTTTCTTGTAGCATAGTCATTTTTCTCTTTAAAAAATGCTAAGCACGCCCATAACAATGATGGGATGAATCCATTCATGCATATACTTATATATCTAGTTATATAGTATTTGTGTAAAATAATATGTGTTTTGAGTCATAAATTTTTAAATTTTCATTACGTCATTTTCAAATTCGCGTCGACTTTGGTTATTATGGTATATACCGAAACCATACCGAAATAATTTGGTAACCGAACCATATTTTAATTTCATACCATATTTACCGAAGTATTAATACCGTACAAACCGAAAAACCGTATAAACCGAACCATGTAAACCGAGTAAACCGAACGCACAGAGTGATTGTTGTCTACCTCGCTACATGGGCAGGGGGTCCATGGCCAGCATCCATGTCGCCATGGCCTCAGCTGTCGCCGTGGTGGCCATCCGTTGCCCCCTGTCAGCTACAAGGTCGCCCCGCGCCCCCTGGAACCCTAGCTTCCCCCCAGATACACTTCCCGCTCGCCTCTCGCCCTCCTCCGCTCGATCCCAAACGCCATCACCACCATGGCTTGCCGCAGCCGCGCCCAATGACCTCACCGCGTGATACGTCCACAATGTATCTACTTTTCCAAACACTTTTGCCCTTGTTTTGGACTCTAACTTGCATGATTTGAATGAAACTAACCCGGACTGACGCTGTTTTCACCAGAACTACCATGATGTTGTTTTATGTGTAGAAAAGAAAAGTTCTCGGAATGACCTGAAAATCCACGGAGGCACTTTTTGGAATTAATAAGAATTTCTGGGAGAAAGAAATACACCAGGGGCCCAGGGCCTGTCCACGAGACAGGGGGGCGCCCCCCCCCTGTAGGGCGCGCCCTCCTATCTCGTGGGCCCCCTGGACCTCCACCGACCTCAACTACAACTCCATATATTCACGTTCGGGGAGAAAATAATCAGAGAGAAAGTTTCATCGCGTTTTACGACACGGAGCCGCCGCCAAGCCCTAATCTCTCTCGGGAGGGCTGATCTGGAGTCCGTTCGGGGCTCCGGAGAGGGGGATTCGTCGCTGTCGTCATCATCAACCATCCTCCATCACCAATTTCATGATGCTCACCGCCCATGCGTGAGTAATTCCATCGTAGGCTTGCTGGACGGTGATGGGTTGGATGAGATTTACCATGTAATCAAGTTAGTTTTGTGAGGGTTTGATCCCTAGTATCCACTATGTTCTGAGATTGATGTTGCTATGACTTTGCTATGCTTAATGCTTGTCACTAGGGCCCGAGTGCCATGATTTCAGATCTGAACCTATTATGTTTTCATGAATATATGCGTGTTCTTAATCCTATCTTGCAAGTCTATAGTCACCTATTATGTGTTATGATCCAACAACCCCGAAGTGACAATAATCAGGATACTTCTCGGTGATGACCGTAGTTTGAGGAGTTCATGTATTCACTATGTGCTAATGCTTTGTTCCGGTTCTCTATTAAAAGGAGGCCTTAATATCCCTTAGTTTCCGCTAGGACCCCGCTGCCACGGGAGGGTAGGACAAAAGATGTCATGCAAGTTCTTTTCCATAAGCACGTATGACTATTTATGGAATACATGCCTACATTACATTGATGAACTGGAGCTGGTTCTGTGTCACCCTATGTTATAGGCATTACATGAGGAATCGCATCCGGCATAATTATCCATCACTGACCCATTGCCTACGAGCTTTTCACATATTGTTCTTCGCTTATTTACTTTCCCGTTGCTACTGTTACAACTACTACAAAAACCCAAAAACAATTATCTTTACTTTTGCTACCGTTACCTTTATTATCATACTACTTTGCTACTAAATACTTTGCTGCAGATACTAAGTTATCCAGGTGTGGTTGAATTGACAACTCAACAGCTAATACTCAAGAATACTCTTTGGCTCCCCTTGTGTCGAGTCAATAAATTTGGGTTGAATACTTTACCCTCGAAAGTTGTTGCGATCCCCTACACTTGTGGGTTATTAAGACTAATTTCTGGCACCGTTGCCGGGGAGCATAGCTCTATTCTCTGAGTCACTTGGGATTTATATCTGTTGATTACTACGAAGAACTTGAAAGATGACCGAACTACTATTTTGCCCTCAACTACAAGGGGAGGTAAGGAACTGCCATCTAGCTCTGCACTAGATTCTCCTTCCGTTATTAGTAGACTTGCGACACCTAAACCTGCTACTGCTATGATTTCTGATATGTCGCATATTAATGATGATGCCACTTCTGCTATGCATGATGAAACAACTTCTGTGCATGATACTACTTTGCCATTAGGTGAATTTCTTGATGAACAACTTGCTACAGTTAGGGGGAATGAAATTACTGAAGAACCTATTATTGACGATAGTGATGATGAAGGTTCTCCCAATGATTACGTATTACCCGTTGTTCCTAAGGGTTATGTTATGAATGAAGAAGCTGTTAGGGAAATCTTTGCTTGCAATGATAGATATGATCTTAAGAAATTATTAGCTAAATGGAAGCAGCAGTCTCTTAATGCTAGAATGAAATCTGACCCTGCTTTTGCTACTTCACCTATCTGTGTTACTAATAAGGATTTTGAATTCTCAGTTGATCCTGAGATTATTACTTTAATTGAATCTGATCCTTTTATGGCCTTGAATCTAAAACTGTTGTGGCACATCTTACGAAGTTGAATGATATAGCCACCCTATTTACTCATGATGAGAAGTCTCATTATTTTTATATCCTTAAGATATTTCCGTTCTCATTGAAGGGTGATGC